ATAACTAACTTTATTAATCTATAAATAAGAACTAACCATAGGAAAAAGGTGGATTCAAAACTAAACGAAAGTGTTTTTAATATATTGATAAAATCCGTTCTTAGTTAAGTGTTTGTTAGTTTTAAGTTAATATGAACTTGCAAAATCAGATAAAAACCCTTTTTAATTATTATTTGTTTTTAGATTAATTTTTTGTAATTCTTTTAATAAACTGAATCTGTTCCATTTGTTCGATACCAAACTTACTTTACTATACTATAAAGTATAAACTGACTATGCACACTACCTATAAATGTATTAATAGATAAGTAGTTAGGTTTATAAATTTAAAGCTAGATAAATATTCTTAGTGCACATCACTACCCTTCCATCTTTGATCTTTTAAATTTACCCTTCCATCTTTGATCTTTTAAATTTATCTATAACAGAAATTTTACATATCCAAACACCTAAAGATCTTTAATTTGTTCTTATTTCCTCAATACAAAAGTAACAATCTTTATGAACTCAATTTTTCAGTCAAACAACGTTTATATTTTTTGCAGCAATCAACTACATCATGCAATTTAGCTGACCAAATTTGAACACATCCTACAAAATCACAGAACGTATTAACCAGGAGAGTTTCCATTTGGAATTAAAATTCATTGAAAATCCGAGAAACACCAAAATTTGCATCCCCTTAAACACAAAGTTAGATCAGAAAGTGATGAATGAAGAACATAAATAATGAATGATCAATTTCAAATCTAATTGATATTGATAGATTAAATAGACGATACTCTGGTGATTTCATGATTTCGATAGCCGAACAAAACCATCAAAACACAAAGCTCGACGATGAAGAAGAGAATAAATCAAAAATAAAATTGGATAAGCATAGATACAAAATAAGAAAGAAAATCGATTTCACAAATGCTGAAGAGAAGAAAGAAAACCGATTTCACAGATGGAGAAGAGAAGTTTATTGGCCGAAGAAAGAAGACGTTGGGGTGGCGACACTCATGTTTAGTGGCAGAGGTAGTTGTTGGCGTTGCGACGCTCAGAGATGGAGTGACAGAGGAAGTTGTTAGAATGAAGGTGTTAGGTGTACGTGATGGAGAAGAGAGCACTTGCAAAAGAAAGAGAAGGAAAAGGAGGAAAATGTGATTTTTTTGGTCTCGTTCATCTATATTTTTCTAATGGACCGAATCAGAAGGTGAGTTAGCAGGGGATGACTAGGCCAAACAAAAATAACTTGTATCAAACATGTTGACCGAACCAAGTCCATCAAAAATGCTGATCCAATCAGCAAGATACAAAATGCCCAGGGACAAGAAATTGTGACTTGGTAAACCATAATGACCAACTATGTGATTTTATAGAACATTTATAATGAAATTTATTTTCTTTCCAAACTTTGTTTTTATACGTTTCAAAAAATATTTACTTTGTTTTTTTGTATTTTTTTAAATTTATAATAACTGTATGAAAACATGTAAAAACAAATTAAAAAACATGTAATATCTGTAAAGCAACAAATTACTTGCATACATTGCGACATATTAGAGGCCTTGTCTCCGGTTACCCTTTCATTTGTTACCTTTTTTCCTTACAAATTTGTCCAAAGTTTATTTTCTGTTACATATATTTATAACTTTTGTTACATGTACTTACAACTCTTTATATTTTCTTTTTCATTTTAGAAACTTTTACATGGATTAGAAAAAGCAATTTAAAAAATGAATTACAAGATCATTATTTTTTTTTTTTTTGAAAAAACATATAAAACCAAACTTATAAAAAGGAAGTCATAAAAAATGTATAAAACAAAATTATAAGAAAATAAAGTTATAAAACATGTATTTCCCATAATTATATTTGGAATAACGCCCATAGCCTGAAAATTAATTTTGGTGAGGAGCTTGTTATGGAAACATCATTTTTGGAATATATTTCCCATAATTATCTTTGAAACTGTCATTCCTGGTTTATAAGATAAAATCAACATTTAATGTTGATTTGCTCTTATACTTGGTAATCGGAAGAATTCGAATTCTATAAATTCTTAGTTCGTGGTTTCTTATTAGTGTCGTGTTTTGAAATTGTTATTTAAAGGATTATCATTATAATCTGGATTTCGTGAAAACCAGACATATGGTTAAAATATCATATTTGAAAAGTGATTACACTATCTTTCATGCATATTGAGGATACCTCTCGATTTCAGAAACCACCACGGTCCTCCCAAACCCTAACAAAGGTTGTTATGGAATTTCTAAAATTTTGATATATTCATATCCAAAAAGTATTAAAAGAGAAATTGTATATATGAGACTAAAATATAAACATTGTTCAGGGCGTGTTTGAGATTGCTTTTTAAACTCCTTATTGACTTTTTGGAAAAGCAAAAAATTACTAGCTTTTTGAAAAAAGTTATTTTTTTCAATGAAAACTTATTGTTTATCAAATCTTTTTAACTTATTAACTTTTTGAAAAACCAATAAGCCATTTTAAAAAACACTTACAAACACCCTCTTAATTGGTTTGGTAGTTGTAAACATAACATGTTGTGTTAAACGGGATATCTTGGTTAAATAACTTTAGTTATACCTATTCCATTGTACTACTACTTTTTTTTTTTTTTTTTTTTAATCACAAACTCTTTTGGAAATTCAACAAAAAGAAAATAACTCAATACTTAATAATTAACACATGTGTTTTTTTAACAGAGTAAACTAAAACATAACTCTTGTACAAATTAACATCAATTTTAAAGGTTGAAAGCTTGTGTTGATAATCTTCAACATCGAGAAAGCACATATTATAGACTACTCAATTTGCATTATTAATGGGTATTTTTCTAACTAAGCATCATGTTTTGGTTTGAATCATGTCATATCAAGGCAAACAAACGCTGCTAGATTTTTACTATTTACTGAATACCCATAAATTATAACAAAAATTATCCACTTTGGTTGCCAAAAAATGCCAAGAGCTAATAGATACAATGATTATACATATCACATGGTCTTGTTTAAAGTTGTGGAACCTCCCACTTGGAATTTTGAATGTTTGAATAAAATCATTGAAATATGTATTTTTTTTGTTTTATTATATATTTTTTACATCTTCGTAAAACCGATAATTTTAAAGCGAAATTAAATATCCTCCTATATTTTATTCCTACTTATCCTCCTATCATATCAAATAGTGGTGACGAGTAGATTCAATTAATATTAATTTCATTAAATGTGTCACTAAGGTGTTGTTTGTTTTTCCGAAACAAAAATTCAAAAAGTCTGCGGATCACCTCTGCAAACCTCTGTAGCAGAACATGTGGACCAAACGGCTACAGATTGTAATAAGAAGCGTGTTTGTTTTTGTTAACATCTGCAGAGTGCTGCAGACATTAAAAATTTAAAAATAAACTAATTTAATAAACCGAAAATGGTTTTTAAACACATAATATTTAATAATTGTAGTCTTAAAACATTAAAATAAATTTAATACAACAAAATTAGTCTTACAATAACATTTTGCAAAAATAAAAGAAATAAAATATAATATGTTATATGTTTTTGTTACAATATGTTTTTCTATTTTATTTTTTATTTCATCATTAAAACAAAATAATAGACACTTATTTAAAAAGAAAATGAAAAATAAAATTATAGACACTTATTTAAAAAACAACATTAAAATGAATTAACTTATGTAAATCAAATGGGAGATAACAGTTAAAGGGATATAAATTTAATGTATTAAATGTTAAAGGGATGAAAATAGAATATAGTATATAAGTAAAGGACCATAAACGTAATATTAAATATACTTAACGGGTGTGTTTAACAACACCCGTCGTTCGATTTTTGGAAAAAAAAAGCGGTCGATTGTTTTTTTGGGTTGGATTTTTTTAGGTTTAGGTTTGAAGGGGTGGGAAGAGGTACAACAAGTGCTTCCCCAAGAAGTACACGGGCAGAGGTTTTAAGCCATGAAGACTTCCGAAAAACAAACTGCTGCACGACAAAAAGTGTTGCGCGTGTGCTATGTGCTGCGCCGCACAACAATAAGAGTTTTGAAGAGGTTTTTTAAGAAAAAAAAACAACACCTAAATGTAACACATGTCAACATTTGATATGTAGGAAGATAAGTATGAATAAAATGTAGGAGGATAAAATTAATTTCTCAATTTTAAATTCAACTGACATGTTATTTTTTTTAGCAACAATAGTTACATTAAAACCGAAAGCTAGCTAGAAGCTATCTAATTTAATTCAAAATCTATCTGAGCTATTTGTCTCAAATATTAGTAACATAAGCTTCATCTTTACAATAGTATCGATAATTGGCAACTAAAAAAAGACTATAGAATATTACACTTTATATCGATGACGATTCTATAGAGCATATGGCAAGCTCGTAACGAGGGAATAAACATTGATAATAGTCTTCTTATGATTAAATTTATTGCAAAACTAGTTGTGAGACCCGTATATTATACGAGTTAATTAAAACAAAACATTAAATGCGAAGGAGTAAACAGGAAGTTTATTTGTATATGAAATTTGAAATAAGTGAAAATTATGAGAAAAATAAATTAAAAAAAAACATGCGAAAAATAAATAAATTAAAATTACGTGCTTATTTGTCAAACTTGTGTACTATAATGGTTAATTATAATAAAATGTAAAATGCGAAGGTTTAAACTGTAATTTATTAAAAATTAAAATTCAAAACTTATAATTAATATAGTCATTATGATATATTTAATTTGTGGATACTAAATTAATGATATAGTGGGAAATTAAAAATGAAGTAAATGACATTTGGAAAATAAATATATCTAAATAACAGAAATTGACATATGAGAAGGATTCCATTTGATTTGTTGGAATGTCATTTTTTGGCATCATGTAATCTTATTTTTCCTGTATTGTCTTTGTACTCTTTTTGCATTGCATTTGACTAGTTTCTGGTTTGTTGTCATTCATAATTCTTTTTTTAATATATATATAATACATAGAGAAATATTTTATTGTTTCATTTAACCCATACAAAACCTCATTGATTTTTGTATGAAATTTATGGTTATGTTTTCGCCCAAAATTTAGTTCTTACTCTTTAATCTTTATTTCATCAAACGTCTTCCGATTGGAATTGAGCTTCACCCATTTCAAATTCCCACATAAAGATCAAAACCATTCTACGATTTAACCCTAATTTCAAAATCCACGCATACGCAGACAAAATGCACATTGCACATTCCTCCTTTTGGTATCTTGAGTCTTGACTCCCTGTCTGACCAACAACTGTAGATAGCTTCTTGGACGAGCGCGCCCAAACTCATATTGGGTTTCCTTTCAAAAACGATCTTTCTTCTGTACACAAAACAATGGCAGGTGAAAGCGCAGCGTCTCATAGAAGAGACCCGATCAAGAATACAGGCATGCTTTCTTTCTCTACAGTTCATAGCACATGGAATTTGACTCTGGTTTTTCTCTCTTCCAGTTATTTCTGTTGATTGTGATGATATAGTGATGAATCCATTTCATGTTGTCTGGATGAATCCGACCCCTTTTATGCATCACACAGTTCCCTATTTACTTCAATTTTGAAGGTTTAATTTGGGGTTTGGGGGAAACGAACGATTGAAAGAGATTGAATTTGACAAATCACAAGTGATTTCAATTATATTATTCGAAACTGCAGTTGGGAATGCTGCTGTACAAAGGAGAAGACAGCATGCTGTTTCAGTGGCGAAAGAAAGAAGAGAAGCGATGTTCAGAACCAAGCGATTGTGTACAGAAGTAGTTAGCAACGACATGGATGTCGCCATCCATGGCGACATGATGATTGAAGAGGAGCCATCAATTCTAGAGGCTCAAACGTTTTCTGCTGTTGAAGAACTAAAGCTTGCAATTTCTTCAAAGTAAGATCAATTCATTATACTTTTCCTTAACAAATGATCATTAATCAATCAATTTTCTTTTTAGGGGAAAGGACACAGTTCAAAAGAAGGTGAATGCTCTTCGTGAACTAAGACGATTGTTATCAAGATCCGAGTTTCCTTTTGTTGAAATTGCTCTTAAATCTGGAGCAATACCTCTACTTTCTCAATGTCTTTCATTTGGCTCACAAGATGAACAAGTAATTTCTTTTTCTTTTATATAAGTTATGAGAAAAACATATTACAACTTAATGACTTATGTCCAAATTTCAGTTGCTTGAAGCAGCATGGTGTCTTACAAACATAGCTGCAGGAAAACCAGAAGAAACAAAAGCTTTGGTTCCAACATTACCATTACTAATTGCTCATCTTGGAGGTTAGTGATTAATCTAATTAAAATTTTGTAACAAATCCTTTTATGTTTTCTAAAGTTCTAATAACATCTAGGTTATATAAGTGTAAAGTGTAAAGATTCTATGTGGGTCTTTCTTAATAAAAGATGCATCTCCTATATTTCATACGCTCCATTTGATTTGTTTTTTTTTTCACTTTCTAAATAACAAAATAAACATCAAAGTTCATGGTAACATTTAGCTTTAACTTTTTTGCTTTTAAGCTATTGTCTCTATTTATCTTGCATGCTTCATTTAGTGTTCACTATCACGGGTAGTTTTGGAAAATGGGGATGGAATCTTTTTCTAATTAATAAAGATAAAAAAAAAACTTGATGTAGGACATTTCAAAAAGGAAAGATTAAAGAACACTTTGATGTAGGACATATTAAGTACTTTCACTTTTAACTAATTAACAAATAACAAAACTTGGTTTTGGATTTAAGGAAAGATCACTTCAATGTAGGACATGAACATTGAACATGGACATATTAGTTACTTTATCTTTAATCTTTAATCTTTAATCATTATAATCTTTAATTTTTTAATTTTTGTATAATTTGTAGATAAAAGTTCATTATGTGTAGCTGAACAATGTGCATGGGCATTAGGAAATGTTGCTGGAGAAAGTGAGGAATTGAGAGATCTTCTTCTTTCACAAGGAGCTTTAATTCCTCTTGCAAGAATGATATTTCCAGACAAGGGTACAACAGTCAGAACAGCTTCTTGGGCTTTATCAAATCTAATCAAGGTTTTTAATTTTTATAAATTTTTTTATTTCCTTTTGTGGGTCCTATTTTATCTCTCCCAAAATCAAGAAAATGGGACCACAAATTACATCTTTATTATTGTTGTATGAATCTTTTGGAGTTTTCAATCACACACACATGATATATCAAACTTTAAAGGGTATTTGTAAATAAAGGAGAAACTTTTTATAAAGAAATAATTTTGCTTAAAAATTATTGTTGATTGTGGATGTAGGGACCACACCCAGAGGCTGCAACTGAACTCATAAAAATTGATGGAGTTGTGGATGCTATTCTTCGACACTTGAAGAAATCGTATGTTTTTTGCACATATAATCAAATTATATTTTATAAAAATGGTTAATTTGGGAAAAAGTCTCAAATTTTTTTCGGATTGTTGGAAAAAGAAAGTTATTAGTTCTTTAAATTGCAAATTTGTACAAAAAAATATGATCTTTGCAATAATGATATATACACACTAAAGACTACTTTAGTATTTTTGTATTTATCAGTATATCTTTAGATTTTAGAAATAAAAAATTATTTTTGAATTTTTGATGAACAGGGATGTTGAATTAGCAACTGAAGTAGCATGGGTGGTTGTGTATTTATCAGCTATTTCAGATGTTGCAATAAATGTGTTAATGAACACTGAAATTGTTCAAGTTCTTGTTGATCGATTAGCTTCCTCAAATACTTTGCAATCACTCATTCCGGTAACACATGAATTTACCTTTTTACCCTTTTGAGTTTTGATAAATGCAGAAAAGAAAAATTTATCTTTTTACAAATTTGCCCTTGTATATACAGTTGCTAAGGAGTTTAGGTAATCTCATGGCTGGTGATGCTTACACCACCAATATTCTTCTTGATCCTGGACATGAAACCACAGGCTAGTTTTATTTTCATATTTCATATTTTCCTTTATTTATTTATTTATTTATATAAAAAGTAAATCCAAGAAATATCAACAAACTTTCATGTATCTGTATATTACAATTTACAACATCCTACTTTCGTTTCTTTCTATTACTCTATTATTGTATTCCACATTCCTAATATAATAATTTAAAAAAAAGGTTTTTTACATGAAAGTCCTTAAATTTGTCAAGTTTTGTTGATTTTGTCCTTGTGACAATTTTTTGTTCATTTATGTTCTTAAGTTTTCCAAGTTTTTTCATTTTTACCCCTTTTACTTGTAACAATAGGTTTCTAGGTTACCATGAAATATAATTTTCAAAAAAGCCCTTAAGTTTATAATTTTCAAAAAAGTCTCAATTATTTTATATTTTGCCGAAATTAACGAAATAGTACTTATTTTTTTTTTCAACGGAAAATGACATATTATCGTATAAAATTAGATAATCAGGACTTTTCTGTTCAAAAAATAAATGTTGGGATTAAACCATAAACTGACCCAAAATATTGGGACTTTATCGGAGATTTTCCTTTTTCATATTATACGAAATCAAGGGTTTTTATTGCAAAAGATTTGTAAACTTAAGGGCTTTTTTGCAAATTATATTTAATGGTACCCTAGAAACCTACTATTACAGATATAAAGGGCAAAAATGAAAAAACTTGGAAAACTTAAGGACATAAAGGAAACAAAAAGGACAAAAACCATTTGTTTTTTTTGACAAACTTAAGGACTTTCATGTCAAAACTCAAAATCCCTTTAAAAAATGTAACATTAAAATAATAAATTAACCGAAATTTGTCTGAAATTTCCAGATAGTATTATCCGTTCATTAAGCAAATGTTTGAAAAGCGAGCATCGTTTCTTGAAAAAGGTATATATTTATTTTCCATATTTCTATTAAAAAAAGTGCTATTTTCTGCAATTACTTTATCATTAAATATATATATATTTTTTGTAGGAGGCGACATGGGTGCTATCAAACATAGCTGCAGGATCAGTTGCACACAAGCAACTAATATGTAAAAGTGAAGCAGTTTTCATTGTTATTAGAGCTTCTTGTTACATCACCATTTGATATAAAAAAAGAAGTTGCATACGTTTTGGGAAATTTATGTGTTGCTCCAAAAGATGATAATGATAATGATAATGATAATGATAATGGATCAGGGATTCCATTTTTATTATCGGATCATTTGATTTCATTTGTTAGAAATGGATGCCTTTGTGGCTTCATTGATCTTGTTAAATCATCTGATCTTGAAGCTGCAAGACTTGGACTTCATTTCATCGAATTGGTAAAAAGATTATATAAGTTTTGCTACTATTATTTAGAAATTTCATAAATGGTCCTTGTGGTTTCCTAGAATATCAAGTTTAGTCCCTGACTTTTTTCGGTCTCATGGAAGGTCCTGATGGTTTCAATTTCTATCGTGGTTGGTCCCTCGTCCATATAAGAAGATTTGTATACCCTTTTTAGTTTTTTATAAAAGAAACTAAAAAAGGTAAATAAGTCATTTTATATGGCTGAACGACCAACCACGATAGAAATTGAAACCATCCATGAGAACGAAAAAAGTTAGGGATGAAACATGATATTTTGGGAAACCATAGGGACCATTTATGAAGATTACTCTAATAATGATGATGATGATGATGATTTTTGTAGGTGTTGAGAGGGATGCCGAATGGTGAGGGACAAAAACTTGTTGAAAGAGCGGATGGGATTGATGCAATGGAAAGGTTTCAATTTCATGAAAATGATGAGCTTAGAGTGATGGCTAATCTTCTAGTTGATAGTTATTTTGGAGAGATGTATGGGGTTGATGAGTAGAAATAAGATATATGGGTTAAGTGTGTGTTTATGTGTGTGTGTGTGTGTTAAGTTTGAGATTGGATACTAACGCATAGGTTAACCGTTAATGGTTGAATATAATGTTGATTTTGGGTACATATTGATTGTGTTTGGAGACATGTAAGGTGTCAAATGTGTTAAATATATATAACATGATATGAAGGTTGCTTCTTTTGTGTTTTGAATACTTGTTATTCTTGGAGTTTAAATGCCAAACAAATTGATTTCAGTCTTGGATGTTATGATGAGCTTATTTAGATTTGAAGGATAAATGATATTAATTGATAAAAATTCAAAGCTTTGAAAGAATTATTATATAATATAATAACAAGGGTTATAGTTTAGGAGCGTGGAACAAGGCTACAATCAACTTTTCTAGAGAAGGATAATTTATTTTTGTGTCATGCAATGAGTTGCTAGAATGCTTATTCAACTTTTGTTATCTGATGAAAGTCTTTCTTGTCCATACATTCTTTTAGTGTTTTAAAAAGATGGTAATGTTTTTTCAAGTGATTTTGCCAAGAACCTTCCAAGCAAAGCTAACTATCCGTTAAGGCTTTGGATTTCTTTCAATGTTTGTGATGATTTTACCAAGAATAACCTGTTAACCTTCTTGGACTCCAAATTTATATTTTTTTGGCTCGACTTTTATTCGTAATTGATCAAAGGTCCCCTGTATGTTTGAAAGGTATGTTGGGTCGTATCTAGTTTTGATGACTATATCATCGACGTATATATCTACTAAGCCTATGATATGTTGCTCAAACATATTCAGTCTAAAAGGCATCTTGGTGTAGGAGAATGTTCCTTTCTCTGTATGAAAGGACTTTTTTTTTTCCTTCACGTGTCTTTGCCATATGGATATGATGATATCCCTTATAAGCATCCAGAAAACATTTTCTTTAGAATCATTTTAATGAAAAAACTTTTTACCCGATTTCCAATAGTGGATAATAATGTTTAAGAAACGCTTGTTGAGGTTGGTGAATCCTATGCACATTCACTACCATCCATCTCTATTTTTTACCACGCTAGACTTTAAAATCATAGTTGGCGAGCAAAAGAAAAGGATTGCGACAAGAATGAAGTTAATAAGGATCAATTTCCAAAACTGCCAAAAATTTGACATTCACGACGCGTGCAATATGCATTTACACTTTTAGCTGACTAAGGAATTCAATACAAACATTCATACACGCGACTCGCGATGTGACCATGAACCTTATGTGACGTGAACTCGATGTTTCTATAAATACACAAACTTTTGGCCATAAATTCAGATGTAGCCTTAGGGTAGTTAAGTGCAACATACAAGAGACAAATCCTACACAATATATTCGTCCAAAAAACCTTTTGGGTTGATTTCAAGGTTGGAGAAACACTTTGGAGCGAAGATTTGAAGAATCGGAAGCTAGGAGCATTAGAACTGTAAATCGGTTTGCTTAATGATCGTGTTTAGCAATTCTTATTTAATGTTTTTCTGTTTTTATCAACTGGTTATTGGGTAAAACCTTTTTGCTTTCACTAGAGTAGATGTAACCTTAAAGGTTTTGTATGATTCCATTAATCGGATGATTAGTTTCGTTTATTTATCAAGATTGTTTGGTTAAAGATCCATATGTGTTATTGTTGATATCTTTATTGTATAGCTGAGTTAATAGAGTTTAGAGAACCAATATGACTTTATTGGCTTAAATCATAATTGTTAATAACAATTAGCAATTGTAATTAGAGATGAACCAAATCCTAGGATTAAGTTAATAAAGTAATTAACTTTAATGTTTATCCATGCATTAGACAACCAAATCTATGCACCAAATTGATTATCATGACTATTAGGATCATTCGACCCAATCAAATATCTCATAATACGAACTTAATAATAATTGTTAGATAGTTAATTTAATTACATTACTTACCATTGAGTTAATCGTCCTAATAATTATAAGGTTAGTTAACTAGACCAAGATAACTGACTAGAATAGAAATCAATGGCTATTACTAATATCCATTACACTCTACTAGAATCTATCATAACTGAAAGGCCTAACATAATATGTGTGAAAGCATCTCTACCTCTTTTGTCTCTAAATCTAATCTCTAGTTTTGTTTTTGTTTATAGTTTAGTTTAATTGAATTGAAACAAATTTCCCTTTTACTTTATTGTTCATAGTTTAGTTAGCAATATAATTTTGTGATCTGAATCATTCATGTTCCCCTTGTATTTGACACATGGTCTTACCCTAACTATATTGCTACACGGTTAGGTACCCTACCTAGTGTGTGTTACAGTTTAGCCGCGATAAAATCAATTTTATAAATTAAAAAACTTTGATCATTATATATATATATATATATATATATATATATATATATATATATATATATATAGTTAACCACACATCACTTGCCATGGTTAATAACTACGCCATGCAGTTTTTATTGGTGATGAATTCATCATCCTTATTCTCTTTACCCTAGGGGTTTTCTTTATGACATAATTTTCAATGGTTGTAGGATCTTCTTATACTCTAGCACAAGTTATGGATATCCTAAATCATGGTAGTTTTTCCCTCCACCTAGAATTTGAATAGTCCATGTACCGTTAAGACTGCCTACCGGATTAGACTTATGCTTATCCTTCCAGAGATAAAATTATAAAATAAGGTGCACATATTACAATAAAAGTAAGATCAACTATTTTTTGCAAGGTATTATAGTAATCTTTGAGTGTGGACAATAATAATCATAGTCTTCCTCTTGGCCAAATTGATTATCCTGTGAAAGTGACTAATGATCTAGCCGTGAGTATAAGGAAGCAATGTACGTACATTTCTACTATCGTTCCCTTGTTTATTAATGGTTCATCTTCTTGATAATCTTGATGCATGACATCAAAGGTTATGGTTCCCACTTGTGGTCTCTTAGGATCCGTTTCACCTTTGTCGGAGCCTCTTATCATCAAGACTTTAAAGCCATGGATTTTTGTTGAATCATTTTTATTTCTTTTTGGGTTCATGTTCTTTCTCATGTTCGATTATGAGGATTTTTTTCTCTCCATATCCCTCTTTAGGTTGTAACATTCCATAGTAATTTGCTCAATATTGTCATTGTATTCATAATATTTAACTTTATTCTTAAAAGGGTACTTTCCTGAGCTACCTCTGGCTTTATGATAGTCATTTGATGTGTAAACTTCTATGTATTCCATGAGTAATTTTATACGATTGTGGGGGTCCTTCACTAAATAACTCTTTCCTAATCGAGTATTGATCTCCTTTTAGATGGGTCAAGATTCATGTATTGACCCTTATATGTTGTGTTATCTTAGGTTTGGGATTTTATTCCTTCATTGTTTTGTCTTTCCCTTTTCATTGGTCATTTATTCATGTGATAGGTAGCTATGAGCCCCAACCAAGAGGTATTTAAGAGTTTTAGAGAGCTTCCCTATAGTTTCTTGAAAAGCATTTGTGGCCTTAATTCATTAGTGAATGCTACTATTATCATGATTTTGTTTCAAAATGGCAAGAGTTAGCTCATGGAACTAAATTAAATCAAGTAGTATTTAGTCAATTTTTAATCTATTTTTTCCCATCCCATTATTAATTAAATTTGCTTCATAAACTTTTTTTTTGTATAAAGCTCTTCGTAAAGTGACTGATGTGTTGATCAAAGTATTTGATAGAATCCATAGGTAGGTTGTCGAACCAAAATCTAAAAGATCCCATTAGTGTCATGGAAAACAAGATACATGACAACTTAAGATCCAAGGTGACCATTATGACAATCCATAAAAAGTTTTTTTTTGGAAAGGGAACTTCCCTAACGAGGGTTTCCGGGCCAGCTTTCGCGCACCGACTAATCCCTCGCTGCAAACATGAGGCTTTGCCTCATGCCCTGGAGTCACTGCAGGCGAACCTCCATGGCCACAAGGGCTGAGTAGTGCCAGGATTTGAACATGGGTCAATAGGTTATCCACCATATCTTCCACATGCCTTACCAAGTCACCACAACCCAAGTGGTTTCAATCCATAAAAAGTTGGTAATATGGTTTTTAGGATTAGTAGTCCTAGTGGACGACTTCATTCATGACATCCTTAATCTTTGGGGGTGGTAGTATATTGATGTTCTTTTCAAATGGTGAGTTGGAGCTTAATCTTCGCAAATCTGTGGCTATAGGTATCACCATTGGTTTAGGATATCCTGAAGAGGAAGTGGTGTTGGTTCCTCCATCATGTTGTTTTCTGGTAGGGCGGCCATTAGATCTGCTATGCATTTCTTACTCTTCCATCAATTTTCTATTATATTCATCCTAATATCATATTGGGAATCATAGACACTACCCAGTCGAGGTTCTGATCCACCTCATGCCTTATGTATTCTTTCATAGTAGGAACAACGAGTGTTTTACCTTTCATCATAGCTTGGTATCTTTAGAAATCTTGGTAGGACATCTAGTCTTTCGCTTCCTGAGGATTTCAAGGAATGAGAGTTCACACTTGGATCAAGAGAGTTTCCTCCACTGTCATCGTAGATACCACCTTCTTAATAGCACCCATTGCTAGTATCAAATTGAATACTATGCCCTATGGATTGGTTTTTCCATCGATGTTTCATGTCGTGTCCGACAGATGATGCCAACTAATGATACCTGATTTATAAAGCATGGCTCTCCACCATCTATCACATAATAAAAGTAATGTTAGATTATATTCCCAAGTGGTGACGTTGAAATGTACTCTTACAATCAAGGTAGTTAAATAATACAAACCACAGGATATGACTATATGTAGATATATAAGAGAATAACATAGAACATGATACCATTTGTTGGGGATAATAGGGTCTTATTTATAGCATAAATTGGAATTTTGTCATGGATAATCCCATATATTAGTCACATAAGGTATTTGTTATTACTTATTACAATAGATGTTTGAGCTAAGGTGACATCATAGAGATTAGAAAGGCACGCTTACATGGGAATGTAACATGATCCCAAGACACTTTCTATTATGGTGATACAAGGAACCATACCTATATGATGTATTGAATTCGTGACTTCATGAAGACATCATGACCTTGTAACTACTAAGTTAGTTCTAGGCTACTCTCGGATAAGAAATTAAG